TTAAAATTTATTAAAATTTGATTTAATTTAATAATAAATTCAAATTTATTACAGTTTAACATATAAAATAACTTAGCGTGTAAATCCCGGAGCATAGCCCGGGCAAACGAGCTAGTTTATAAATATAGACAGATTTTTCGACTAAAGATTTTTTCATCTGTTCAATTTCGAAAGATACTATATTCCTCAACACCCATAATTTATCTTTTCCAAATGATTTACCAGAAATAGAAGTGGAAGGAACATGTGATTAGGTCCCATGATAAGACAAGATCACACTGTGTGTACTTACATTCATATAAAGACAACTAACGCTAGTTATCATGGGAGAATGTAATCATGGCAGGCATTGAAAGAACTCCATTGATCAGTAATTCTAATGGTTTTCTTAACGTCAACAATACAAAGTCTTTTTTACGCATTAAAATTTCTACAATAGTCTTTCTAATATACTTACTACTGTCATTCGCGTTTTCACATAAAAAAATTCCACACGCGTATCATTTAAGATTTGAAAATTTCTGGAAATTTAAAGGAACACGAATTTAATAACAAGCATACTGATAAGACTTTTTTTAGATAAACCCTTGAATCCCGATTCCATTGATAATAAAAATAATCAACCAGAATGATTAAGGCTCGTGAATGTTAAAGTTCCTTATTGGTCTTTCGGAAGTTTTAAGGTATTAGAATATCGATATGATCAAAATGACACCGTCGACATCGTAACCACAGTTCGTACGCGGATTGGTTTTTTTATTCAAAATGCTAATATTACTTTCACGACAGCCGAACAAGCAGCAATTATTGACCCAAACTCTCTAGAGGCTTGTGATTACAGAATCACTTGACATGGATTATGAATGGTTATATTTGGAGGAAATGCAAACATGCCGGTGAGAATTTCACAAAAGTGTCTTATTTCAAAGGGTCTCCGTTTCCATCCATATACACCGTCTGTTATGACTACATATTAAGGAGTAAAGAGAACGAAAAAATAGATTCAGATTTTATGAAAACCTAATCAATTTATTATTATTATTATTATTATTATTATTATTATTATTTTTATTTTTATTTGAGACACATCTTTATACTGTACTGTATATCGAAGTTGTTTTTAAACATTATTAAAAATTTTGCTATTCCGAATTTAAAAAAAAACGTTTATTAAAGTTTCAACAAAAATAATTATGAATTATTAAATACTTTACTTGTCACGCTGCATAACTGTCCAATGAATTGTTTATTTTACGTGCCTATTTTTTTTGTTATATTAATTATTTTTTATTAGCCATCACTATTTTTTAATATAAAAATTTAAAATTTAAATGATTCGGATGCTTTAACGATTTCCATTCCTAATCAATTAATTATAATTCTTATTTAAGATATAATTTTTAAACTAAAAAATATTTAAATAAGATTTATTGATAAAATTATGATTAAAAGAAATACAGAGAGACCTCCCTAAATGCACCCTCTATAAATGCACTTACTATATTTTCTCTCTCTAAATGCACGGTCAA